ACCTAGCAATGTCAGTTGGTGTCGGAGATCTCAGATATTCTACTCCAAAGATTTCAATCACTGAATAACAAAATTGTTGCAAACTTTGAATCACAGTGCTTTCCCCAATACGTATGTAATCATCAACTGCATCTGCTGCGACACCGTATGATAATATTCTCATCACTGAAGTCATTTTTTGTAGGGCAGATAATCCAACTACATGAGCTGCATCTTGTTTTTGAATAAAATATGAATTGTGTGCTTCGATTGCATTCAAAATTCGCAAATACAAAGGACGACGCATTCAAAAACGTCTCCGAAATATTGTAGCTGAATACACTGGATTTGCAGCAAAATAATCTGCAAATAATCTGTCATGACTTTGCCTTCTATCTCTGCGTATATACTTGTGACCTACAACAGAACCCCCTATTTTCTTTGAGCTATCACTTGACTTAAGAATCTGAAGCATGCTACTGGTATTCTGCTCATAAGCTGCTAAAAGTGTGATCATATATTCATCATCAGACTCCTCATCAGAGGAGGAGGAAGAAGAAGAGGATGAAAATGAAGTAAATATCATGGATTTCAAAGTATCCATTACCCTCTGTTTTGTTTAAGATATAATCCTTGTGTTTAAGCTATGATCCTTGTGGAGTTGTCTGGCATATAAATAATAATGTGTTTATATGAGATTTTAGAAGAAAATAATTATTACGGGTAAACCAATGGAGGGAAAAACAAATAGGAAAAGAATTAGGAACAGAAATGGAGGGAAATCCAAAAAAAAATAAATAAATAAATAAAGATTACCGGTCGACCGGGTGGTTGACCGGCCGGTCAACCAACCGGTCGCCCCCTACCAGTTCACATCGGTCAGTTCACGTTGGTTGGTTCAAACAGTTCAGTGGTTGGTTCAAACAGTTCAGAAAGGTTAAAAAAAAAAAAAAATTTCCTCTAATCGGTTGACCGGTCCGGTCGCCCATCCAGTTGTCCTGAATGAGATTTGATGAAGGTGAACCGTTGGAGCGTGAAGTATCAAATTAAGGAAATGACCATTTTTTAACTCAGATTTGGTGAAATATTAGGTGAACCGTTGGAGATGCTCTTAGGCCAAGTTTGACCATATCAAAATAATCTATCTTTTTATCTTTTTTTTTATTATATTATCTCTCTATTTTTCTACATATCTTTTCATAAAAAGACAAAAAGTATACTTATTTAGGTCATCCCAAACAACCCCTTACTTTAGGCCTCCTCTGGAAACATTTTAACTTTTTGATTAAAATATGAGGTAAAAAAAAAAATATGTTTAGGATAATTTTTTAACTTTTTACGAAAAGATGTACAAAAAATAGAGAGAAAATAAAATTTTTGACTTTCTAATATAAATTATTGACTTTTTAATTTTTTAAATAATTTTTTGACTTTTTAACTAAAATAGTCAGTTACCAAACGAGGCCTAACTAACAATATCTAACGTCCCCCAGATGGAAAATGGTGAACTCCATTTTAACTTTTCAAGGTGTGCATAATACCGCCGAAATCACCAAAACCGCACCAAACCGCACCGTCAAGGAAAATTCGATATTATTTGCGAATCGAACCGCCGGTTTTTGGTAAGAAAAATGACAAAGTCTAGTAACACTTTTATCAATCCGCCGGTTTCTATTTTTATTCCAAACCGCACCGACCCGCACCTCTATTAAATCATGTTTTATAAGATTCTAAAAATTCTTTTTTACTTAAGTTTGCTTATTGTTCTATACCTTAGAATTACTGCTCGAGGGGAATTTTATGTGTTGTATTTGATCATTGTAACTTCCATAGATGCTTGTAATGAATTGATGGCATAGTCGTTGATATTATCATGTTGTTTTTAAAAAAAAAAAAAAATGTAAACGGTTGGCAATCCCAAGATAAAATATCACAATTGATCCATTTCTTTTTTTTTAAATTTTTTTCATGCAGATTATAGTATTCTACTATACACCTGTCAATTCTTTTCCTTTGACAAGTGGAGACGCTTTCTCAAGTTTCTCAAATAACACTAACACCACTTACTTTAGGCCTCCTCTGCAAATATTTTAAGTTTTTGATTAAAATATGAGGTATAAAAAATTAATATATTTGAGATAATTTTTTAATTTTTTATAAAAAGATATATAAAAAATAAATTATTTTTTTTAACTTTTTAATATAAATTATTGACTTTTTAATTTTTTTAATAATTTTTTAACTTTTTAATTAAAGTAATCAGTTGTGAAACGAGGCGTAACTAACAATATCTAACATCCCCCTAAGATGGAAAATGGTGAACTCCATTTTAACTTTTCAATATGACAATCTACCCTCACTAAATTTTTTGGAACAAAACTACGACCATACAAATTACAAATCCCAACAAAATAATAATAAAATAAAATTTAATGCATACAATAACAAATGCTCACACCATCATTCTCTCTTTTTATGTCCATTACTACCTATTTATCAACAATATTACATATCTAAATAAAAAATAGAAATAAAAATTTATATATTACAATTATTTTGAGTGTGACTCACATTCTATCAACTTAAATTCCCACTTCATGCCTCATTTTTAGAGTAGTTTTCAAGACAAATTTTTGATACATAACATTTTTCTTTATTTATATGAATCAATGCTATAAGTCACTTCTACAAACCCTCTAAGCCCCCTTCCACCTCGTCTTTCTCTTCTATCTCTTTGCATAAATCGACTACCATCACACATATTCATCACCATTGCACCTTTTTATATCCTCTCATTAAAAAGTAAATTAAGTTTGGATGGCAAGAATTTTAAATATCACTTCAAATCTTAGTAATTTCAAGTTTTGAAACCAATTGGAATGGAAATTTTGAGAAAAGAAACTAGTTTTAAAAATGTAAAAATAATAATTTGAAAATTTAATCAAATGGGAGTTGCCTCCCCATTGGTTTCTTATTTGTAACAAACTTGTAAGGGGATAGATACAACATTTCTTAAGCAAATTTACGAACCCCACAAATTAATGTTACCTCCTTGTATGAAGTGATAAGAACACAATGTAACCAAAATATTCCTAACTGAATACCTTATATCAGCACCTCCATCTAATATGTCAATTCTAATGCAGCAGTTCAATAACTCTATTTTAGCTGCAAGAATGAACTCCATCCGGTGTATCAAAAATTGACACAGCTTTTAACATCACCCGGTTCATGTCAATTTTGACGTGTTCTCCTTTCATACATTTTGCTTTTTTTTTTTTCCTCTCTCTTTTCTTCAAATAAAAGAGGACCGATGTACACAAATTGTGGTTGTCAGGTTTCCATGTCAAGGTTTTTTTTTAGACCAATGGTAATATTGTTATTTTTTAATAAAATAAGACCAACCTGTTGTCATGTAAGATAATTACCGTTGTAAATAAAATATTTTTATTTTATTTTATCACCTATAAATTTAGAGTTGGGTAATATTTTTTTTAATGATTCGCACTGTAGATTCACCATACTCTCAATTTTCCTTTTTTTTTACCCGACACTGTCAATTCAGAATTCAGTCAAAATTACTTGCACATTCATGATGGAGGGTCACTTTCACAATTTCAAAAAGGTTTGGTTGAACATCTGTGACATTTTTAGGGAAATGAATTAAAATTTTGAATTTTGTTAAATTTTATTTTTATAAATGTAGCAATAGTTTTAAAATAATAAAATACTATTTAAATGGCATCAAACCTCTTTTAAAAATAATTTTATTTTAATTAGTAAAATAAAAGAGTTCTAATTTTAAAAACAATAGAATAATATATTTGACATATCAAGTGAAGAGCTTTTATGTCAAATTGACATATATTAATTTGTCACCCAAGCCTTCAAAAAAATTTAATATACCAAATTTTGAAAGGTTTGGTGGAGAGGATCTAAGAACTTCTCCAACCCACCCCTCTCAATTAGAAGATGAAAATATTTTAGAGGAAAATCTTTAAGGAAGAAAATAATGATTGTGGTTTGAGTTTGGATAAACAATAAGATACTCTTTATTCACTTTTCAATAATATATCTAAAATATTTTAATCAAAAAGTGAATAATTATTGTTCATTAATAAATATTTAATTTTTAATTTTTTTAAATATATTTAATATTATACTCATTTTAAATGTATGATTTTACTCTTTTTAATAATACTAATTTTATAAAAATTAAATTTACATATTAAATTTAGCTATTTGTAATATAATCAAAAATATAAAATGAATAGTGTTATGGAGATCTTACTTTGTTTCTCATACTCCCTCTATATTTGGAAGACCAACCCATCCTCCACCCATATAAAGATAGTTTTAGAGAATGAGTTAGAACATCTCCAACGGTTCACCAAAATTTTCACCAAATCTGAGTAAAAAAAAAGACCATTTTCTCAATCTGATACAGATTGTTCCAATGGTTGTCATCAAAGCAGGAGTCGACCGGTTAGTGTATTTTTTTTTTTTTAACCTCTTTGAACATTTTGACCTGCTTGAACCAACCTATTTGCAAGGGAACCGGTCGACCGGTTGGTCAACCGGCCTGTCAATCAGTTGGTCTCCCCCAACGGTCACGCACAGTAAATTGGTGAAATCTTCCCCCTGTTCTCACTTTGATGAAAAATTTGGTGAATTCTCGTTTTGATACCAATTTGATGAAACCATTGGAGTTGCAAAAAGTGACTTTTTCACTAAATTACAAATCTGATGCAAGATTTGGTGAAGCGTTAGAGATGGTCTTAGAGACCAAATTTCTTCAAATATAAAAATATAGAGGATGAGTTGGAGATTCTCTAAAAGGACTAACTTATCTAAGATCAACTTTGCAATGAAAAGGAGTTGAATGGGTAAAAAAAAAAGCAAAAATAAAGAAGCAAAATAACCCATTAACAAGTGGCATACAAGAATTGAAGCACTACCACAATACAAATACTACAATTCTCGAAATTTTGTTCCAAATTTTACTTGAAAATATCAATCTATGACTTAAATTCATTTCATACTTAAACTCACCAATCCATTCAATTTTCACCATAGATACATATTACTCAGAAAGATCTGGGACATTTGTTTTGGGACACTAGCATTTCTGCCACCACAAAGGAACAAGCCCAACATAAGAACAAAAAAACTAGGCTAAACCATATGGCAATTCACATGATACTGCAACTGCTGGTGTTTTCATCACTGAAGAAGTGGGTGAAATTATCGGCCACCGGAGGCGGCATTGGCGGTAGCCCATAACTCATCGACAGTTGTGGCCTGGCACACATCATTGGCTGGAACATGCCATTTTCGTTCGGCCGAGTCTGGTTCATCATCATGGCCATGTATTGTTGGTTATAAGGGTTATTTGCAGCCGGTAGTCCTTGTACCGCCGGAATATTCCCCATATGACCCATTGGCATTGGATAATTACCCATCTGACCCATATTCCTACCAGCAAACCCTTTATGACTGACATCATCAATCTCATCAAACCCAGGTTGCATATTGTTCATTGTATGGTCCCCATCATTCTTCCCTCCTCCTTTCATACCCCAATTAGTACTATTTTTCCCACCACCACCACTGCTGCCACCATTATTGCCACCCTTACCTTTTTGACCACTATTTTTTCCGTCTCCTGCTAAACCCCCACCATTTTTACCAGCCTCACTTTGATTTCCTCCCTTATTATTTCCACCACCACCGCCGCCACCACCTTTCTTTCCTCCATTTCCATTCATACCCATACCCTTTAATTGAATAGGCTGATCAAAGCTACCACCTTTCTTGGCATTTCCACCCTTTTGTCCATTCATGACCTGGCCATTAATCATTCCATTTGGCCCATGGGGTCCATGCCCATTACCCATAATTGGTGGTTTATGTGGAACATCAAAACCATCATCATCTTCAAATTCATCATCAAACTCATCAAAACTTGAATCATCATCATCATGAGGCAAGTTGAACTTGACAGATTTCTGATCTTTGGAGGGAACCTTAGGATCTTTAGACCCTTTGGCATTTTGCATTTGCTGTTGTTGGAATTGTTGGCCACCTTTTTGAGCCTTGCTGTCTTTTTTCCCACCTTTGCCAAAATCAATCTGCATATTTTTTGGCTGGTTATTGAGATGGTTTGAAGCTTTTGGGGCTCCCCATAGCTCTCCATGTTTTCCAGACTTCGAAAGCTTCTTTATGAGTGTGGCTGGATCAACATTTCCTGTCACAGTCACCTTCCCTTGTTCCACATCTATAGCGACAGTATAAACCCCTACCCATAAAGCAAATAGATAAATAAATAAGTAAATAAAATAAAATAATTAACAAATTTTAAAAATAAAAATATGCAGGAAAAAAAATTAAGGATTAAACATAAAATTCAGATATAGAAGCACTCTAAAGTTCTTTTTTGCTGACAGAAAGAGGTAAACTACACCCTCTTCAAAAGCTTAAGCTTATTTAAACCAACTAGTGGGACATAAATGATTTATATCCAGAAAAAAATATCCAAAAACTACCAAAATTTGAAGTCTGATGGTGTGAATTTAAATTTGTTGGCCACACTCGATGAATATAGTCAATAAATTTTAAATTCTTATTACTTTTCTGAATAATTTTTCTAAGGAACTAAAAATGACAATACACATATGCAGACAAACATTTAACTAGTTAGAAAATGAGGTAAGTTACCATCAATTTTCTGCAACAGTTTCCTCACTTTCTGCTTACATCCATCACAGTCTATATTCACTCTGAGAACACAACTCTGCAGGTAAAGAAAGAGACCCAAAACAGAACAAACAATTGGTCAAGGTAATGAGGAGCCCAAAACATCTATATTATGCATTCAAATAAAATTGAGAAAACTAACTTTTAAAGAGCCCAAAAGCATCTGAATGTATAGTATAAAAGCTAGGTACCTGAGTCTTCAAGAAATCTTGTTTGCTCATTCTTTCTGTGACAGAGATGGGAAGAAAAGAGAGATGTTAGCTGCAGAGTGAAATGAAGCAGAGAAGTTGAGTATATAGGATAGGGAAAACTATGCAAAGTAGTTTGTTTTTGGCTTTTTGTGGGCTCTTTTAACCAAAAAACAAGGATTTATAATGGAGAGAAATTAATGGGGTTTGGACTTTGAAGCTCTCAAGCTCATATTGAATACTGAGATTTTTAGGCAATTACGAGAAAGAGAGAGAGATTTAAAACTCTTCCCACGCACTCTTTCTTAGTTTTCTTCCTCTATCTCTGGGTTGTGTCTTGTTTTATACATATATATAGAGAGAGAGATATGGGATCGAGAAATCAGACAAGTAGAGCAAGTAAATAAAGAACTAGAAATAACTAGCTTGAACCTTTTTTTTATTAAAAAAAAAAAACCAAACTAGCTTGAACGTTGATATGAGCTGCATTAATTATTCAGTTGCAGAGCACTACGTGATATTATTTACTTGTACTCCAAATCAATCACGTAATAAAAAATAAAAATAAAAAAAAAAAAGCAATGAAACATACTTATTCACATATGGTAAGGGTGTGTTTGGTAACGTTTATGTTTTTAGTTTATATTTATAAAAATTTTATAAATTGATTTTTGTTTATTTTTAGAAAAACATAAACTACAAACGCATTTGGTAATTGACAAAATGTTTAAAAAAATTTAAAAATATAAAAAAGAGTGAGAAATGACAAATCACGTAAAAAATAAAAAAATAAAAAAAAGCAATGAAACATACTTAATTCACGTATGTTAAGTAGTTTTTTTTGAATAAGTATGTTAAGTAGTTAGAAGATAAAAGATTTATTAAAAGTATAAAGTAGATACCATCAATGATACACTGGGTTTATTTAATAATTTTCTTAGATGATATTTATATGAAACATGAGATTAGATTTAAGCACAAACAAGAAACAAACATACGAAGAATTTTAGGATCACAAGAGATCCAATTGGCTCACTTTGGTCACGTATTGACTCACTTCAATAATCGTAACTATTCATTTTGTAAGTTCAGTTAAAAAAATCATTCATTCAAAAAAATTAGAATGATCAAATGTTATATGCTTGCATGATTAGATCATATTTGTCTTAAAAATAATAAATGAAAATATAATTTTGTTAATAGAGTATCTATTTTTTGATGACAAATATGATCAGAATCTAATTTTTTTAAATGAACAATTTAAATTAAAGCATTGGACCTATATGATCCAATTAAAGAGAAGAGAGAATTCATAGAACTGATTTCAAAAATATTTAAGAGTATTAAAAGTAGAATTTTAATGAGAGCTTTACTTATGTGATAATGAATCCTATTCGTGAATGATTTGATGTATGTATTTTTCTTTTTTCACTCCATATCATATCGTTAGAACTATTATCAGAGATCAAATTTTAGAGTTATGAATCATTCCACTACTTATTTACATCATTACCAGAAGATAATAATGTACTGCGCCATGGGCCATGACCAGTTCAAAAGCAAGTACACCAGGTTAAGCGTTTGTTGGACAGAAATATTTAATGCTTATCCAACTTTTGTGATAATGCCAAGCTACATAATAAATTATAGAAAATGTAATAATAAATTTAGATTTAGGGGTTGGTTTGGAAAGACAAACAGAAAAGTAAAAAAGTAAGAGTTGAATTTTTGTAGTATTTTTTTTTAAAAAACTTTTTAATTATTTTATTAAGTTTTCAAATGAGGACTTAAAATAAAAAATTTTCAAGTATTTAATTTTAATTCTTTATTACACTTTATGTGAATCATTATATATTCTTAACATTGTTGAAGAAAGAAAAAGTTGAACTTGTGTTCCGAAAATGCCCTCAAATTTATGATGGGAGATTCATTAATAATGTGACACCAGTTTTGACAGTGCAGTGTCGGTCTTTGATAGCTTGGGTGGCTGGGCTGATGTCGCAAAAGGAATGCCAACATCAGATTAAAGAAAACGACATTAGGTCAAATTGGTCCCTTCTGACAACAGAAGCTCACTCACCATGTTGGTAATGAAATTAAATGTCAAAAAAGAAAAAGAAAAAGAAAAAAAGAGTTAGAGTTAGAGCTACTTTACCCTTTGTCTTATCTCTTTTAAAATATTCATATACTTTTTACGTAGTTTTGCATTAAACTGTTACTGTTGCATTTTTTTTGGTTTAAATAGATGGAAACTGTGTCACATGCATGTCCTCATTCGGCTGTAATTAGATTATAACTTTTTAATAAGAAAATGATAGAAAAATGTAAAGAAAATATAAAAAATTTTTATTTCATTTTTTTTTTCAAATCTTTACATAAATCTATGATTTAAACACAAAGTCAAATCTAGTATGTAAAAACAAAAATTGCCCTAAAACTCTCCTCCGACTCTCTTTAGCCACGTGCTCCCCCCCCTTCCCCTCACTTTTCTGCCACAACCCACCGTTGCCTCCTTTAACCTCTTTACCACTGGCTCTCTCCTCCACAACCCCCTCCTTCCTCCCAACCTCCTCTATCCCTCTTCGACTTCTTTCGCCACCACCTCTTTCATAGCCAACCTCCTTCGCCATAGTTGACCTTTTCCCCACCTCATCTACCCTTGGCCACCCCTTTCCTTCCCCAACTCCTATATCACTTTAGCCCTTTTTGCTAATGTTTTCTCTTACCTCCACAAGCCTAAGCTGTAATGACCTGAAATAAATGCCATAAATTGGCCCCCAACAACATATGCACAATGACATAACAAAGTAGTAATCTTTTATTAATCAGAGTTAATTTATAAAAGTAATACATGCGATATACATTCATAAGCTTTACTCTAAATCTATAGCATGTAATACCAACTTAATGATCAACGAAATAAATGTCCTACAGATCGAGCCGAGCTCGAGCTCAATAAACGAGCTCGATATGTAAACGAGCCGAGCTCAAGTTTAGCAAAGCTCGACTCAACTCGGTTCATTTGCAACCCTATATAAGAGTAAAACCTTTTGACGACACAAGCAGAGACATATCATTTTTGAAATGTTAGTAATGGGCGCCCATGTGGCATGGCCATTTGAATTTGAATTTGGAATCCTATCCAAATAGGTTTTGAAATTGAATTCAAACCTATTTAGGATAACCACTCAAGATACAGATATTATCAGTTTTAACTGATATGGATAGATATAATAATATATTATATATCTGATATATGGTTATACCGTTGGAGATGCTAACCGGAATCAAATGTCGGGACAGTTTATGAGGTCATGTCGGACCGTTGTAAAAGGCTAACCGGAACCTCTTTCATAGCCAACCTCCTTCGCCATAGTTGACCTTTTCCCCACCTCATCTACCCTTGGCCACCCCTTTCCTTCCCCAACTCCTATATCACTTCAGCCCTTTTCGCTAATGTTTTCTCTTACCTCCACAAGCCTAAGCTGTAATGCCCTGAAATAAATGCCATAAATTGGCCCCCAACAACATATGCACAATGACATAACAAAGTAGTAATCTTTCATTAATCAGAGTTAATTTACAAAAGTAATACATGCGATATACATTCATAAGCTTTACTCTAAATCTATAGCATGTAATACCAACTTAATGATCAACGAAATAAATGCGCTACAGATCGAGCCGAGCTCGAGCTCAATAAACGAGCTCGATATGTAAACGAGCCGAGTTCAAATTTAGCAAAGCTCGACTCAGTTCGGTTCATTTGCAGCCCTATATAAGAGTAAAACCTTGTTGACGGCACAAGCAGAGACATATCATTTTTGAAACATCTATTCTTAGTTTTTTGAGACACTGGAACATGTAAAGCTACATTTGAAGAGTGTAGCATATCCCATTTTCCAACTGAAGGGACTATGCCCTGAATATATTGAACAACTAGAGGGCGTACTTCTTGGCATAATTGGGCCATCACCACCTCAAGTATTTGCTTTGGCCCTGTTGTAAATGAACCCTGCAACAAATTAGTATAACTGATTTTACTAGTTCACAAGTCTCCATCTTCACTAATCACCACAAAAAAAAAAATAAAAATAAAAAAAAATAAAAATTGCAAGAAGAAACTACAATAAATAAATAAGTCAAACATTGAAGCAGAAGTACTTCAATTAGTTTATTTGAATTGGAAAGGTATGCTACTGACAGATGGATACAAGCAGCTATGAAATGCAAGCAATTTTGCTTCGAAGTGATGAGCAAGTGCCTTTGATGACTTCTCTTGATATATCTCAGAACCTGTAAAATGTTTGCAAAGAATTTTGTACACTATAGTAGTAAATTTTGAGTAAGAGTGATCGTATAATGTTCTAGGACAAGGAGAGGATCTTGTTCACCTGCAGGACCAGACAGCAAAATTCTTGGACTTACAGTGGAATCCTTGGACTCACTATGCTTTATGTGTAGAACAAAGCATGCCAGCAAATAATATTTTGTCCTGTAACTGAAAGAAATGGAAAATTGAAATTTCCATTACTGGCCTGCAATAAAGTATTAAACCCAAGGAAAACCATAGCAGGCCCTATAAATAAGACTAACATAGTCAAGTAAATGAGCTTAAATTTGAACTACAAAGTACAATTGTTGATCAAACTGTTGCATAAGCAGAAAAGGGAGCAGGTAACCATAACTGGAGAACATTTATGTTAAACAAGTTCTTAAAGATGAACAATCACATTCAGTACACTACAAGGGTATAATGGCACCTCAACACTCCAAGAAAGTTTACCAATAGTCCCACATAGTGAAACCACTACATAGATCAAATGGCTGAAGTAGCTTAACATATGAAAATAGCTTTCTCAAGGAGCTACAGCAATGGGAAAAAATTAGGAAAACATATTCAGGTCAAGAAGTTAAGATTTAAAAGCATATATGTATTCTATTCTCTCACCGATTTTGGTATCCCGTTTAATACTGTTATTTCAGGAAAGAAGAAACAATAAAAGATAAAAATTTCACAATTGCTATTAGTTTATTTTTGGGCTGAAAAACTGTTCTGTATATTTCTGGGCCAAAAGGTTGTTCTGTATATATTTCTGGGCCGAAAGGTTGTTCTGTATATTTCTGGGCCGAAAGCCTGTTTTGTATATATTTCTGGGTCGAAAGGCTGTTCTGGATATATATTTCTGGGCCGAAAGGCTGTTCTGTATATTTCTGGGCCGAAAGACTGTTCTGTATATATTTCTGGGCCGAAAGGCTGTTCCGTATATATTTCTGGGCTGAAAGGCTGTTCCGTTATTTCTGGGCCTATGGCTGTTTTGTATCTGAAGACCCATGGCTATTCTGGAAGTAATTACAGAATGTAGTTAATCATATGCCTCTGC